GAATTAAAAAAAATAAAACATAACCGTTGCAAAATTGCAACGATTATGTGTTTTTTTATTTATTTATAAAAACGCCCGTTGGGGCGTAGCCGTTGCCCCAACGGGCCGCAAGGTACAAGCCGCGGCGGGGCTGCACATCTGCAAGCCCCGCTGCGGATAAATTTTTTTTTTTGGGTTTGGCCGTTGCCTGGCAACGGGCTGCTAACATGGCTGCAATGCGGTCGTTACTCTGACAACTGCTGCTTTTTTTTTTTTTTTTTTTTTAAATTTTTAAATTTTTTTATTTTTCACATGAAGGTTCCGGGCCGGTTCAAATTTTTCTGGAACCGGAACCGGGCCCGTATGCCACGGGCCGGTTCCGGTTCCGAACCGCGGGCCCGGTCAACGGGCCGGTTCCGGTCCGGTTCCGGGCCAAAACCGGCCCGTGGCCACCTCTACAAAGCACTTCACGCTTTGACAATCCTGTTAAGACACGATCTGCATATTACCTATGCATCCATCAACAACGCATGCGTTAGTAATTATAGGGAGGTTCCGCCAGCAAAAACCAAAAGAATTTCAAGTGTGGGAAATTTTCTATTCAAGGTGTCGCGACCTAAACCTTTTGCGGGTGCACCACCTAGGGGTTCGGCTAATGGAATATTAAGTCTAGGCCTAACTCGGGCTCTCCTAAGCCCTTACCAATTTGTGACTTAAGATTTAAGTTCTTAACATGCAAATCATTTCAATCAGGAGTCGTCACTAATCTATTTTTTGGTGGGTCAACCCAAGTGAAGTATCGGGAGAATTACGTTACTCCTATGAACCAGAGATTATAGATTCGGAGATTTGGTTACACTAGATTACTCTAACGCCCTTTCGGTACCTTTTCTCTTTTATTTCAAAAAATATTTGCAAGCAGCTTGGATTGATTTTAAACCTATCCACTAACATGCGAGGTGATCATGTGGGTACGCAACCAATAATAAAACACTCAATAATGCAAAGCAATAAATAAATTACAAGATAGGGACTTACCTCAAAGCAATGAAAGCATTTGCAATATTAGTTAGAAAATTACATTAACAATCCTAATATGATTTCTAATTAATATGCAATTTCACTCAAATCTTTTTTTAGGGTTTTCTCTGATTCAACGAAAACTAAACTTTGTGCAATGCATTCTACGTCTAGTACGTATGACATACGACATACGATTTATTTAAATGTCCTAATTCTAACAACAATTAAATGCACTATTTCTAATATGGCATGCAAATGAACCTAGACGTGAGATTTCTAATGACGAGAATTAATTAATATTCAACTGCTCTGATATGACATGCACGTGGTATTTTTTCATATTTTTTTAATTTAAATTCGGAATAAATAATTAAACTAATTTAGACATGTAATAATAAAATCTAAGAAAAGAATCTAATCTATTCTAAGAAAATAATCAAAATTTATCCTAAACATGCAATATATTATCTACTCAAATTTACCTAATCTTTTTTGTATTTTTTATGAAAAAACAATTAATTCAATTCAAACAAATGACAGAAAGAAATGACACCCAATCACAAGAAATATTATCCATATTCATCTAAGTTTAGAAACAATAGGTTGGCGAATCATATCTCGGGTATGAGGATCGGATTGGCCAATCTTCTGCACAATCGTGAATCATATCTTGGGCGGGAGATCGGATTGACGAAAATAGCACGTTATGAAATTAGGAAATAATTCCTAAGGATACTCGGGAATTCCATGGATACAATAATATTACTCGAAGATTCGCATAAAATTGCAATATTTCAAATAAGGAAGCAATATACTCGAAAGTCAAATTAGACGAGCTGTTTACCTAATTCGGATATTTGCTTTCCAAGTTTGGACCGGCGGATGATGGCGGACTCGATGGTGGCTTCACTACGAGGACACCTGTGAATTTGCTGAACGTTGCTGGAGTTTACACGAAATTGCTGACTTCACCGGTCAACCTGCAAATAATTTACCAAGGAATTCAAAGAATTTGTCCCGGGTTTAGTCAAGTATCACCCAGAGCCGTACACGATGAAATGCAGCACTGCAAACACTGTTAGAGGTGTAGAACAGCAGCTCGGGTGCAGCGGGTGACGCTCAATGGCTTCGCGGCACAGCAAATTCGTCGCCGTTGGCTCAAACTATTGCGGAATGGAGCAGCGGGTTCACGCCTGATTACTGGAGCAGAGACGTTGTCGAGCGGGTAGGACTGATCGCGGTGGTGTAGCACGGAAGAATAGCCACAAGGGGCGATCGCGGAGGGAGCTCTTTGGCTGGACGTTGGTCACGGTCAGAACATCAAATCACGGTGGCTGGTGAACAGGAACACAGCGGGAGTACCGGCTTGCGATGCGGTTGTAGGTTGAAGCTCACGCCGAAACACTAAAGGAGAAGGATGGCAACTCTCTCTCGCTTTCTTACTCTTCTCTCTTCTCTCGATGTGAATGTGCCGGCTCTCTTTTATAGGTGAGAGAGTCTGGGATATCAAAGAAAGAAAGCAAATCATATTTCCTTTCCCGGATGCTCAAAAGATATCATGTTTTTGTCCTTTCTTCATTTGCTTTGCCTTTTGCCTTCTGCTCACGGATCTCGACGCGCGAAGATCTTTAAAACATATTGCCTTCGCTTCTTTCCTTTGAAAATATGTCCAGCTCTTGTGATCGTGATCAACCCAAATATATTCTTTGGTTTTTTACCCTTACGGTCAAAATTGCTATACTTAACAAAATTATTTTCCAATTTTGCCCCAGTAAATGTTCTCTCACCTTAAGGATTCGGCCATGTCATGGGTCTTGGGACAATTTTTCTTCACCGCGGGCTTAGTCCATACTAATTAAGCTCAGAGCCATTCGTTTAAGTCCATCGGCCACCAATTCAATGCAAATGCAATTATATAAGCCTAAATACTTATTCAAATGCTCTTAATCTATATGCAATTTAACTAATTTATTTTTGTCTAGGAACCGGGATCGATCCCTAATTTTTTATGCAACGAATAACTGACTGGATCGCCAAAATTTAGGTGTCAACACAAGGGAACCAAAATCATGAGAGAGAGAGAGAGAGAGAGAGAGAGAGAGAGAGAGAGAGAGAGCTTACATGAAACTTACCTTGAAGATAAAAAGCAAATAAGTAATAGTGCATTTTTTAATCTTAAGGGGGGAACCTTGCAAAAGGCTCAAATAACCTTACATTACGTTTAGGAAGCTTTGCAAATGGCTGAGAACAGCGGTCTTGGAAAGGGTAAAAAATGGCCTTCCAAAGGGCCAAAATGGTACTTGTGCAAGGCCATTTAGGCCTTGTGTAGAGCAAACTAGGCATTGTCTATGCTACGTGGCATTGGTGAACGCTGTGGCAATTGCAAGGTCGCCCATCTCAAAAGATGCCAACCCCCCCCCCCCCCGGGAAAATCTGAATATGCATTTGGAAGAAGTATCGAGATATGTAGATTTTCACGAATCGGCCAAACGGATGGTGGAGATCAAAACTCACAATATCTCCTTCGAGAGAATTCGTGTAGTTGGAAAGCTTACTGCTAGATCTACTTGATTTCGTCACTCAATTTGTGAAGAACTATGATTTTCCCAAACCCATTGGGATCGAATGGCTGCGGTAACTCTCGTAGAGCGAGAACTAATTGTATGAGATCGAATCATTGAGGATCATACTTCCCAAATGACAACTCCACTGGATTATAATGGTAGGTTCTTATTAATCCAAAAGACTCGTAGAGAAGTAATATGAGGTTATATCTAGACCGCCACACAGGAATGCAAATTAATAATCGCGAGCATGCTCAGCGGCTCGGAAAGGAGGGCAGCAACTTGGCGCCTGAGTGTAGTGACAGGGAAGCAGTAGATTGGAACAGTGAAATTGGCGAACTCCGGTCAGCAATGCGACATGAGGACGGTCCAACGAAGCATGAACAGAGGCAGCAGATTAACTATTCAAACCAAAGAGATCTTAGTTCTGCAATGAAGACTACAACCGAAAGCGAAACGATCAGTGCAGGCGCCAGCAGTGCCACGTTGCTAACAAAACAGAACGATGTGGGGTTAGTCTAATTCGGCGACAGCACCTGCAAAATGGCGGCAACACAAACTCACGAACGATCTGGCCTACCTCGCGGTGCTAAGGCAGCACCTCAGATATGTCGGTATAGCGGCAATCAGCAAGTAGCAAGTTTGGTGACGCTCACGACAGAGCTTTTCGTTAGTAAGAGGATATCGTGCGCTTGCAATTGACCTAAGATGATGGACAAAAGATTGAACTCTGGTTTTTAACTTATTCTCTTTGTTTTGATCGATTTTATTTGTTGATGCATTCATTTTTTATGGAGTCGATTGGTCCTAACGAGAACTTAATTAAGAATCAAGTAAAAGACGAACTTACTAAACTAAATTAATCGGTTAGAAGTTCAAAAGCGAATTAGAAATTTAAATCCGAACGGTGCCCATATATATCCTTTTGGATTATGTACAGATTGATCATGATTATGAATCAAGATATATCTACAGTCTTCTGCAGCAAATTTACGATCTTGCATTTATTTTAGCGTAGTTTGAAAGAGTGACGAAGCATGTGGACCAAGACCATTTGAACCGTGTTTATATGGGTCTTATTGCAAAGTCCACATGATCAATTGTCCATATGGTTTTGACAAGATCTAAAAGATCATACAATATTCTTTTTGCTCCTTTATTTCATATTGGTCTCTCTGGCCTCCTTTTTATTTATTTATTTATTCAACAACCTGGTCGTAGTTTCTGAATCGGGAATTTATCGTATAGACTTGCGTCTAATGGATCAAGTTCATCACAACCATCCATTTTGTGGACTCACGTATGGATCCAACTTTAGAGTAATTTTTTTTTCCGACAAGTAAGGTTTTATCGATGGCATAAAAGGCAGGTGAGCTACCCTGCTACACGCTCAAGTCATACAATTTAAACATAACCCAAATGCTGACATAAGAACTTGTAGTTGCCCAAAGATACTTGTGCAGTTACAACAGCATTCTTAAGAAGTCTTCCTTGGACAGGTTTATTAATCTGACACAATAAGATGAGCGCTAATAACCTTAGGGTAAAGTTACCATGCATGATATTCGAAAGACCTCACACACTACGTTTCTTAAGTAACACTTTCAAAGGATGGAGCTTCCTTACGGATAATCCCGCCCGCTCTCTCATGTCCAGGGTTGCCGGAGTCAGACCACCGCCTAGTTCCCAATCGAAACAGTGAAGCAAGGTTGCAAGACCGAGATGAAGCACCCTATGCGCCAACGCGAGTCCGACGCACATTCTTCTGCCCGATCCGAACGGAATTAGCTCGAAGTTTTGACCCTTGAAGTCAATGTTAGATCCCAGGAACCTCTCTGGCTTGAATGCCAATGGCTCCTCCCAAGCATCTGGGTCTCTTCCGATGCTCCATGCATTCACGAAAACCTGGGTATCTTTGGGAATATCATAGCCCATGAAATTAGTTTCCTTTCGGGCATTTCGTGGGATAAGTAAAGGTAATGATGGATGCAATCTTAGGGTTTCCTTCACCACAGCTTGCAGAAACGGCATCTTTTCCGTGTCACTTTCTTCGAGCTTTCTGTTCAACCCCACGACCTGGTCAAGCTCATCTTTGGCCCTTTTCATTGACTCGGGTTGGCGGAGTAGCTCGGCCAGCGCCCACTCCATGGTGTTGCTTGTAGTCTCTGATCCAGCCATAAACATTTCCTGCACCATCAAGTAGACCCATTTAGTACAACATCTTGTCTTGCTAGAAATACCGCCAGTTTCGATTCTCGTGCTATAATTAAGAAATCCGGTTTCGCTTGAAAATGGCTCCCTAAAATGATCAAACATAATAGTTCCTATACTTTGAATTGACAGACGATTGTGCACAAAGAAATGAATAAGAACTTAATGATTGGGTCCTAAAATCGACCAGATGAATTCACTAATGATAACACAATTATTTATGAAAGAGCAACAGCAAGTGTTTGATTGGCAAAAGGAAATAAACAACTTGAATGGCAAGAAATAAGTTGCTGGGATATAACCGAAAATGAATTGCAAGAAAGTAAAGTGGATTAACATGATTAAATCTTGTTCTTATGTTTATGCGTCTTTTTCCTTTAAGATTCGCCCATTTTATAGTCTTTGGCTGATGGAATGACTATTACCACCTCAAGATCTTCACTGCTGCAACTGTCAGTCAACAACTTTGATAATTGTTCCTGCCTAAGAGTTGAGGGCAATAATTGTTCGCACTTGGTTTTATCCTTGCAGTTGATTTGATTTCGGCTAAATTTTGTGAGCCAATGTCAGTACGTCCTGACTCAATTGACATTGACTTGACTGACATCGACTCGGTTGTAAGTCAGTGTGCGAAACTATTCATGTCTTATCAACATAACTTTTTTTATTTCTCATAATCAATACTGGTGTTAGACAGTCGATTGTGTTCACATTCAAGAGCAAATTGCATGTGCTCGTCGACATACTAAATACTCATTTCTCGTGGACACCCAACATGCTCCATTGCAGATTCCTCTGTCTTAGTGGTCTCAACTTTTTTTTTATAAACATTGGCTCAAGCTAATTTCGTGTATAAAGCCATAGTCAATGTATGGTCAATGACATCAATTCTCATTAACTTTAGCTCTTTGACATCAAGCTAACTTTTTAGAGTGCCGACAGATTAACAGAAAAATTATTCATTTTGGGATACAATTTGAAGAAGATTGTCGATCTTAATCAAATCTCTTCTTTACGTTTTAAGACTTGTTGTTTACTAAGGTCTATAATACCTTCCACATTTGAAATATCACTTTCCATCAACTGTCTACAAAAACATTTTACACTTAAAGTTTGTAGAGAATATTGCATAACAAAAAGCTACTCCTATTAGAGATGTTATCACTCATTCTTGATTTGGCCAATCTGCGCTCATTTTATAATAACTAGCTCGAATGCTCAACCAAAACACAAGATTCATTAAGGGACCCTACTTGTTTAAATGTCATTTAAGTTTGCCACACCACTTTAATGAACCAAATTCGATCTAATTTCTTTGTGGCCATGTTGAACCTGGAAGAGAGGAGCAACTTACCAGAACGATTATGTTGACATTCTGTAATGAGAATTTGCGAGGGCCTTCTTTCCCATCGCCCTCATAATCCAACAACGCATCCAAGAAGTCGTTCGTTGCTCTAATCTTTCCCCCTAGCTTTCGCTCCTCCAATCTCTCTTTCACAAAGCCTTCAATAATCTTCATGGCTCGACCCATGTCCTTCGCCATGCTTGCCTTGATCCTTTGCGGATCCCACCATTTCAACCACGGCAAGAAGTCGGCCACGTTGGGCTTGCCGGCCCACTCCATGAACCGGTTTGTGGCGTTGAAGAACTCGGGACCGTCCTTCGATTTCGGGTCCAGCAGATCCCGCGAGAGCACCAGGTTGCCAACCACATTAAACGATAGGAGAAAGAGGATGTGGGATAAGTTGATTCCTTGCTCTTCATGAAAATGAAAACTTTTTAACGATTAATCCTAATCAGAGAATGTATGGCAGCATGTAACAAATTACACATGAAAATAGTAGTCTATAGTCAGAATCGAGAGGAATCAACCTCTAGACTGCTTGTGAGCTCTACTTGACTTACTATGTATGCTGCAATGTTCAACACGAAAGGTCGATTTTTCAAGCTCAAGTCGAACTTAGCAAAGTGCTTTATAAGCTTGGTTTCGACTCTACTTCACTAACAAAACTGAATTAGCATCGAAAACTCTTGATACTCCAACTCGACTTCCACAAATAAAAATAAATTGGAAACTCCAATTTCGACTTGAACTCGAAAAAAATGAAAGCAAGTTCGACTAAGGCTCTGTTGGTTTCGCCAAAAATAAATTATTTGAAAAATATTTTTTTTCTAAAAATTGATCGATTGCTTTACTTGATATAACTATCTAATAAAAATATTTTAATTATCGACAATAATTTATATCTAAATAATTTCATGAATGATGAAAATATTTCATTTATGCATTTTTGAAAGTGACTCAAGCGATTGATCTTCGGAAAATATTTTCCAAATCATTTGTTTTCCGCAAAACAAACTTACACTAAACAACAAATTAAATTCCTATAGCACTTGGGTAACTTGAGTTATTTACACTAGGGCTTATTTTATTTTACGGAAAAAAAATAATTTGAAATATATTTTCCTAAAATCAATCGCTTATATTGCTTGGAATAATTAGTCATGAAAAAATATTTATATTATTAGTAACAATTTATATCTAAATATTTTTATGTACAATATATATATTTTCCGTTCATTCAATTTTGTAAACGATATAATGGATCATTTTTAGGAAAATTTTTTCTAAATTATTTATTTTCCATGAAGCAAATGAGGCCTAATATTTACTTTTTTAATTTGTCAATTACAGTACACAAAACAAAGGCATAAAAGTATCAACAATCCCTAAAACTATTGCGTAGGGTCGAAGATCTTGATCCTATTTATAAGGAGCTTAAGATACGTTCCTCTCTCTCTCTCTCTCTCTCTCTGTTGCTATATTTTGCTTTCTTTGAAGAAAAAAAACTAGGAAAATGACACCATACGTACCATAACATTTGTACGGTGCTCAACTTGAGGGCCGTTACTTTTTTTTTTTTTTCAATTACTTGAGTATTATAACTTGTGTATGGCACTTACTTAAGTGCCATAACTTTTTTTTTCCGATCACTTGAGTGCCATATAACCTTTTTATTGATCACTAAGTGCCATAACTTTTTTATTGATCACAAATTTTCAGCACTTGAGTGAACGTGTTTAAAAAGTTTTGGCACTCAAGTAATAAATTTAAAGATGGCACTCAAGTGATTGTTTTTTAGAAGTTATGACACTCAATTGATCAAAAAATATATTATGATATTCAAGTAAGCATTGTACGAAAGGTATGGCACTTGTGGTGTTCTTGTATAAAAAAAACTGTGCTACGATCATGCCAGGTTACACATGAAACACAAACGTCAGAAGTAACACCAAGTGCGTAAGAAATAACCTGCTGTTACTTGTTTAACCGCCATTTCTTCCTCTATATGCATGATCATGCTGTCGACGCACTTCTGCCTAAGGTGGGCCGTCTCGTTGACGCGCTTGTTCATGAGCAGCTCCGCAGAGCAGAGACGCCGGAGAGCACGCCAGTAGCCGCCATAACAACCGACGGCGAGTGAGCCTTGGTCATATTCGAGAGCCGTCAACGCATGGGGACACTTGCGGTCCGCGAATGTTAAGTCGTGGCCCTTGAAGAACTCCGCGGCAGCCTGAGCCGATTGGATCACCATGGTGTTCACGGAACCGAGCTTCAACCACGTGACCGGCCCGTGTTCGGCTTGGAAGCTGTGGAGGTTCTGGTGCGGCATGGTCCCGAGGTTGAGGATGTTGCCGATCATGGGCCATGCCGGGGGCTGAGGAGGAAGGTTGGTGCGCTTCCGGCGGCTGAGAAGGAAAACTAGAAGTGCCGTAAGGAGGAGGCCGAGCCAAAGGAGCGAAGTAGGGCAGTACTCCATTTGGCTAAGCTTTGAGCTAGTGCTCACCTTGCCCTTATGTGATTATTGCACGTAAAATATGATATAAATAGACACACTCTTATTCTGTTCACAAGAAAGCAACCCAAACCAATAAAGAACAAGAAACTCAGGAGGTGGAAATATATGCCGTCCGCCCATAAAACGTGGAAAACGTGAATAGATCTTTTGGCAATGAAGAGGAGTAAACATGCTGGTCACGTTGCCTCCATTTCATCGAATTATGTAAAACTCGATTCTTACTTCATTGGAATAATTTTATTTTTCGTCCAACAACTCACGTGAATCACGCCATCTAATGTTGTAACTCTTAAGTTTCACAATCAAGTCCTATAACTTTAGTTCACCATTCAATGTAATCCTCCGGTTACCAAAGATAAAGAATTCGTATTAAAATATATGATCTCTTGTTCTTCCTTGGATTTCACGGATTGTTTTATCCAACTTGTTTGTCCTACCAAAATCAAATAGTTATGTACTTACTTTTTCCTTATTAAGATGGCATGTCCTTTTTCAAAAAATATTATATACATAATCCAATCATCAATTTGATAGAAATATCTGATCTCCACTATCTAAAGGACTATTTGATATCGAAACATGATTTTTGCCGATGAATCCACCATGCATTATCAAAGAAATTAATTTCATCAAACAAATTCGCTGATAACCGCGGAGCTTGACCCTTAATAAAAACCAGTTAGTTTATACGACATTGCATTCATTTTTCTCGCCGCCTCCCTTCTGCACGTATAAACTAGAGGCATGATAGTTTGTTGATAATTAGGTTTCAATTCATGTAGGTCATCCGTCTCGTGAAGATTAGGGATCTCCCACACTCTTCAACTAGGTAGAATGTAGTATGAGAACCTCGGGCTCGATGGCTAAAATTTTGATTGACGGTGACTCCAAAGCCCCTCAATAGCATTGGTTCACACTCGGACACAATTTTCTTCCCGGTAATTTTGACCTGACTTCTCCAGATCGATTTATGTTAAATATGTCTTGAATTTTATGTACTCGGTTCGGTTTATCACCCAACCCGATATATTTTTTGTGCGATCCGAAAGTGGAGAAAAAATTGAGATTTAGTTCGCGATGCGGAGGGTTGGGCCGATAGGCCCAACTCGTAGCAAGGCGGATCGCTCGAGCTGGAGAAAGCGAACAAATGTCTCGGGGGGTTCGGGGGCGTAGCCACTGAGAAAATTTTTTGGGAGCACTATTTATACTGCGGCTAGGGTTTTTCATTGGACAGTGAGAGAATTTTGTTTTCGGAGAGTTTTGTGAGCCGTGAGCTTTTGTCGTTGTTTCGACTTCTGAAAACTGTACTCTATTTGATTATAGTGGAATCTTGTCTTGCCTCACCCGTGGATGTAGATCACTTTATGATCAAACCACGTAAATCCCTGTGTTCTGTATTTGTTTTTTCCGCGTCTGCTACTAACAATTTAAGACCCGAACAAGCTCAAAAGATTGCAAGCTAAGTATCACGATGAGTGTCTTTGAGTCTATTTTCATATGATATGTGGTTCGTGCGCTAGTTCCAAGTATAGTTTCTTGAATTCGCATTTTTACGAAGGAACGTTGCTGCACTAGGCTACGGTGGCCTGTTGACTACGGTGGATTTCCAATAATCGTTTGGTCTGAAAATTTTACACAGGCTACGATGGCCTGTTGACTAACTACCCTTAACAATTGAGCCCAATCGGACGAACGACGAGCACGTATTTGCAATTTCCGCACGATTGCGCGGTCAGCTCGTGTCTAATCCGAGAAGCTCACTTTTTCCTTTTTTTTTTTTTAAATTTGGTTGCCACCCTCTAATTGCTCATCATTAAGCCCCTAAGCCAGCCACCATCTAGTCCCAATTGGACTAAAACCAAACAAGAATTGAACTGTGACATCCCCGAATTCGGGTCTAGGAATCCAAAGGTATGTGGTAAAAAACTGAGCAAGTAATCTGAGCCGAGGGTTGGTAATAGATCGGATAATATGGTCGGAATGAGTGTACTGAGGGTTGGTTATGGTTCGATCGAAGGATTGTCCATGAATTGGCCTAGGGATCGATAGTGGAATGACTCCCTGCTCACGCCAGGCAATTAGAGTGAGACGACCGTAGAGTGACCTGTCGACCATAAGAGCCGTTAGTGGGACGGTCCGGGATAACTATGGATCAGTCCGGTGTCGGCATGTGTTGGTCGCGGGTGATACCGTACAGTCATGTATCGGTCACAGATGACCATGCGTTAAGTCCGGAGTATTGGAGTCCACGAAGCCACATGACAACCGAGAGTCGACCATGGATCAGTGATACTCGAACGTGTACCGGTCGCGAGTTAGCCACGGATCATTGCGTCGAGTCGGATAGGTCATGGACGGGCTATGTGCCAGGCCACGAACCCAATGGCTTGGCCACGAACTAGGCTATGTACCAGCCATGTCGGCTAGGCCTCATGCCCGGACATGATCGGCCATTGTGCCGTCAACTAGGCCACTGACCGGCTATGTGCCCGGTTGTGTGCCAGTCATTGTGCCCGACTCTTGTGCCAGGCAACGTGCCTGTCAGATCCAGTTCCGATCTAGTTTCGTGTCCAATGGACTTGGCCATGAGCCATGCATTGTGCCTATGCATGAGCCAATGCATATGTTAGACCCATGAATTGGCCCCTTGTTCGTGTGGGTCGGTATTGTGCTCGGTACATTGCTCGTGCAGCCGGCGTCATGCTCGGCGCGCCGCTCGTGCAGCCCGGCACCGCGCCCGTGTGCTCGGACATGCGCCTGGCCATGTGCTCGGCCATGAGCCCGTGCGGCCCGGCAGCGTGCCAGGCCATGTGCCCAGTTAGGCTCGATCAGACAGGCCACACACCTGGGGAACCCGACTGACCCGAATTGCACACCCATGGACTTAAACCTTTGATTGGTCATACTTAGCCATATGTGGAGGTCTTTAGACATCAAAACTCAAGTTGAATGGGTATATCGAGCGTGGAAAATGCTCGGAAAATAAGTTGAACGAATATGATGCGGGATTGCGAAGTTAGTATTGATTAGTCGATTTTGTGTAAACCGATTTACCCGAGTATTTTGCGAGGGAAACTAGTATGTTCAAGCAGTCCAGACAAGGCTCACGGTTCAGCAAGAGAGAAGAACCAAATAGTTGACCAAGTCAAATGCCCATTAAAAGCCATTTAGGGCCACCATTATTGAACCCCCTTAGGTGTTCCCCTTCTTTATTGCTGGGCAGCTGAAGTGTTCAGCCTTATTAAGGATGTAAGGTGACTCATGGTCACCAATAATACACATGAGACAAAGGGGCAATCGGCCAAGGAAGAGGGAGAAGCCGAGAGAGAGAGAGAGAGAGAGAGAGAGAGAGAGAGAGAGAGAGAGAGAGAGAGAGAGAGAGAGAGAGAGAGAGAGAGAGAGAGAGAGAGAGAGAGAGAGAGACTAAGGAGGATAATGCCACATTTAAGTCACTTAATCGCCCTTCATCATTTTTTTTTGGCCCTAGTTCATTAGTGCCATTAAGGTTTCTTTGACTTGGAAGCCCTCCCATTATTGCCTTGCTTCTTCTCCAAGCTAGACTTGTCTATAAATGAGCAAGAAGCTCACGTGAGGGAGCCCCCAACCGGCCATCATCTTCTCCTTTTTGCTTTCTTGCTTCCTTGATTCACGCCCAAAGAAGCCCTACCGATTCTCCCTTTTCTTTTGATTCAGCTAAGCTAGAAAGTCACGCCCGAGACCCCGTTTTCCCGGGCTCAAGCCCAAGCCACAAGCTACTTGCTTTCTTTAGTCTCTCGTGTTCTACTGTTACGTTAAGTAAGTGAATTCCCTAATATCGGGAAAGGAAGTTGCAATACGTTGTAACATGATTTGCTTGGGCCGTTTCTCGATTTCTTGATCGATTATAGCTTGTTCTTTCTTTGACTAGTGATGCTCACGTGTGACAAGCATGTTTGACATTCTTTTGTTGTTCGTAGCACGAACTTTGCTATTGATTTGCCATCGATGCCGGTACGATAAGAGCCAACTTATGTGAGCGGCAATTGTCTCATCCTCGCTTGCTATTAGTGTTTTCACTTATTGAGTCTCCCCGACTCACTCCCTATTGTTTTCTTCTTTTTAGGTCCGTAAAATAGCGTCTCCCCCGATCCGGTTCGGAAACCCTATAGAAATGAGAGCCGAATTACTCATGGTAATAGATGCCTGGGAAGGTCGCGCTTATCGTCGGATCACGATGTATGTTATGGTTGATGAAGGCCGTGAGGACTTAGTTCCCCACCCATACGAGGCATGGTATCGCCTCGCAAACGGAGAGTAGGTTGGACCCCTACGTGGGTTCAACGGGCCGTTTGGCGGACCAGGTGGGCCAGGTCCGGGGCAGGCCATGGGCGGGGCGTGAGATGGCCGAACGGACAGGGAACGGGAGGACCTAGGAGCAAGAAGCGAGAGAAGCCATAGTGGAGTTAGGGACCCCAAGCCAAAGTTTTGCTTATTCGATAGTTGGCTTGTTTTCGGAATTGCCCTTGAAATAGGCATGTAAAATATATGGGTGCGGTTTACATGGCCCGAGAGTAGGGCTTGTGAAAATAAGCGCGTATCATGTAAATATACCATGCGAAGTTTGCTTATGTTGATATTGTGATGTTTCATTTATATTTGCTTCCGCGTGCGCATTGATTAAAATGAACGGGATGCACTAATTTATTTCTGCGAGTCACGGTTCCGTTCGGGTCATGTTCGATCATTAAGCATCGATCATGAATCTGGGTCGGGACGTGACATGAACTAGAGAATCGAAGAAACAAACTAGCTTCTAAACCAGCACAATCCTTGGTGTTGTCCAATTGGAATGGCATGAATACTGTCGGAGCTTACAATAAAACGGACAAAATCTTTATAATTATTTTCATAAAAAATAAAATGAGGAATAATAAATGCTATGAGAGATTCACGTGGTTCTATCCGAATGTCAAAATCTACGTTTACGGGATAAACCAGCTGCTAATAATCCATTAATAAATTAGAGAATA